AGTAAGGGAGAGGGTAAACAAACTGCACATAACAAAAAAGTGGTTATTTCAATACGTATTTTGAAATTAAAAAAAACATATTTGAAAATCTCTAACAATATTTTGTACCTAAGTTGATAATAAACATTTGTCATTTTTATGAATAAATGAATTAAGTAAATACTCATTAACTCAAAGCTAAGGTCTAGAGCCAACTTGGTATTCATTCACTCAGTAAATACTAAAGGTCTATGTGTAAAGCACTGTGCTTTACTTCTGTGAGAGAAGTAAAAAGTCATAAAACAGGTCAAAACCACTGCAGTATATAGTTAAAGATTAAACTAAAGCTCCTAAAAAGAAGGAAATGTAACACTCTCTTCTCTCAAACATACTTCTAGGTTCATATATTTAAATTTAATTAAACCAAAGTTTCTCTTTTTGAGGCCACTGGTTTCTGAATGGTATTGAAGAACAAATTACTAATAATACTTTAAACTGGAGTTATATTTTTTATGAGATGCTCCATTTTACTGTCCAAGTCAAATACTGCTGAAAGACCCATTGTGGTAAGAAAGGAGAAAAACATGGGGAGAGAGAGACAAAGACAGAGAGAGAGAAAGAGAGAGAGAGGAGCGGGAGGTAAGGCTAACAAGAAAACAGGCTTAACTGAAGTAATTAAATAGTAACAAAAGAAAATGAGCAAAGAAAGGAGAAATTTCAACACCACTAAGAGAACTAACTACTTACTCTCTTGGGCAAGAAAAGGCAAATTTTTTTGTAAAGGGTCATAAAGTAAATATTTTAGGCTACGAAGACCATATAACATGGTCTCTTGCAGCTACTCAACTCTTATAACTACAATGGTAGCTGAAAGCAGCCATAGATAATAAGTAAACTAATAGATGTGACTGTGTTCCAATAAAACTTTATTTACAAAAGACAGATGGCACAGATTTGGTGCCAGGGATGTAGTTTGCTGATCCCTTGCTCTAGGGGAAACAATTCAAAAGGTTCAAAGGTACAGGCCTAATAAATTAATATAGAATCTGCATTTAAAAAATAATAAACCATAGGCTCTTTCTTGCTGATGATAAGGGGAATTAAATTAGTCTTGAAGAGAAAGTACTTTCCAAATAAAACTTTATACAATTATAACCACTTACATTTTCTAGGCATAACTACCAAATCTGATATTAAGCTCTAACTTCTTCCCTGACTAAAAGTAATTCTTATTAACAAAAGAAGCTATTGGTCTGACTTGTATTAGGTTCAGAAAGCAAGGAGTCATGAAAGTGTGCATTTACTAGTTACAGCTGTCAAAGGCACAAGGCAAAAGAAAAAAAGGAACTACTACACCTTGCTTCCAGATTCTACTGTTTATTCAGGCTAGTAGTTTGTCATTGAAAGAACCATTAAGAGATAATATTTAAAGAAATATATTTGTTCTTATTACCACCTTCTTCAAAGATTAGAGATATGCTTCTAGCTTCCCTACAGTGATGAATTAATTACTCGAAAATTTGTTGTATTTATTTCTAACATCCGTAACCTCCTGACAATATGCACTCCAAAACTTACTAATTGATTATGTGACCCAGTGTTTTAGTATTTCCTTTTTTCTTCCCAAACTTACCTCTCTAAAGTCCAAAGGAAACTATCTCATGCAGCTATCTAGTTTTTGAAGGAGTCTGTTCCCATTATCCATTTTATTGTCATTCATTCATTTAAAATCCTATCTCCATTGGTTATCATCTATTTTTTTTCACCCAAGCTCATATACCTTGACCATTTCACTTGCCATTTTACAAGTTTTCTTGATTTCTAAAGTCCTTGTGTAGCAGACACTGCTACTGTCTTAACCCACGTTGCCGTATCCTTCACTGTTCCCCACATAGCAATGTTTTCTTACTGTATTTTTAATATTCTGCCTGAGTGCTTTCTCTGGCACAGGAGTATGCTTGAGCAATGAGTTCTAGAGAGTTAACAACCCCAGGAACAGCCCTAGACCAATAGCAAAGGAAAGTTATGGATAAATATCCCCAGCCTCCTTGCCCATTATATGGGGTAACTTTGAGGTCGTGATACCGGGTCTCCCAAAAGTCCTGGTAAGATTAAGACACAGCTGCTGAAATTACCTGCTCTTGAATGCATCCAATATTGTATTCTTTCTCTTAACTGGATCATTTCCCACTTCCCTACAGGTAAGTGCCTGGGATTGCCTTCCATATAAACTACCCGCTCTCAAATCTTTGTGTGCTTAAGGTGGTCCGCTAACCTTAAAATTCCTGGGTTCCTGAGATTTTGCACTGAGACGAGTTCATAGCACACCAGCCATGAAATCACCAACTGTTTTGCCCAAAGGTAGGATTACATTGTTTCACTTTTGCTAGTTTTCAAAAGATCTGGCACAGCCATCATTTTATTATTCTCCCAAGACATAGCAACACACCAGAGTGATGGCTTTAGCCACCCTCTAAAGTGACTCCCAGTTACCTTACCTGTCATAACTGAGTGCTCACGTAATAGGAGCGGGTATGCCTCGCACCAAGCCGCGCACAGGAGAGGCTGGGACGCTGGTGTGGGGTGGGGCACGGACGCAGGGGCGCGGTCCAGTCGGTAGCTGGCCTCGCTCAGGTTCTTCGGGCTCAGCTGAGCCCCTCTCCCAACCCCGCGTACCTGAAGGCTCACAGCCCTCCAGTTCTTGGCCAACACTCCCCTCGTTTGGGTTTGGGGCTTGAGCTTTTCCATCCCCAGCACCTGGCAGGGTGTTGGGCCAGGGAAGCCTGATCAAGTGGCCAACAGCGGCTGGAGGGCAGCACCACCCCGCCCAGCGCCGGACCTCAGGCCAGCAGCCAGAGTCCAGGCTCCGAAGAAAGGCAGGTAAGGGCTGTCGCTGTGTAAATGGGCGGGGGTCAGTTGCCCTCAAGTTGGAGGAGAATCTACATCACAAAACCTAACTCAACTTTTGTTACTAAGGGACTCGTGTTGAGCAAAATCTGATATTAACTTTGAAGGAGAGATTTGTTCTTCGCCTTCAAATTGTAATCGGGGCGGGGCGGGCAGGCAGCCCTTAGCATTCCACCCTTAATACCTGGCCAGCGCGTGGCCGTCACGAGGCCTTAGAACAGCGGTTAGAGGTCCCGCTCTGCCAGCAGTCAGCCTCGCAGTGATCCTCCGGGCAGAAAGTGCCGTGAGCGGTGGATTGTGGCCTCCTCCCCAGGGCTCGAGGCCCTCCAGCCTCCACACTGGTGGGTGATCTGGGGGGCCCAGGACAGGCTGAGGGCTGTGCCCTGCAAAGTTCCAGAGCCCTTGCCATGGCCGCCCCCTGGCTGGGCCCAGGCCTTGACCTAATGGCGGCGGCAGTCTCCATGGGTCCCAGTCAATGGAGGCCTCAGCACCTGGATTATATGCACACTGCCACTAAGGTAACAGCTTCAATCAGCTTCAGTCTGTCCATTCAAGTTTTGAAAATTGGTACAGTTTAGATCAGTTGTCTAACCCCTTAAGAGGTGGCCGGAGGTCAGGGGTAAGTTGCCAGAACACTGCACATCATTAGTTCAGGTCCACCTCTGTGGCTGGGGCTCTTCTCAAAGAAGGACAATTGTTGCGAGCTGGGAATTCACCTGACAGGTATTTGCTACAAGTGATTCGCTCCAGTTTAAGTGAAAAGCCTGAGAGCCAGCTGGGTCCTGGGCACTTGGCTCCCTCAGTGATGATGGCTGGGCAGGGTCTGATAACCCGGCCCTGAGGGCACCACCAGCTGAGATCTGCCTCTTCAGCCAGGCCTGGGCACTGGCAGGAGGACCCAGACTGGGTGCTGGATGAACGCTCCCAGGCAGGGTAACGGCCCGCGCAGGGACCCCCTCCTCTTAGCCAGGGCCTGGACCCTGGAGGGAGAAACTTGAGCCTTGGGACTTTGCCCTTTCTTGTCAGAACGGGAAGAACATTCATTTTGGTGGAGGTTTACAGGAACATTGTTACCTGACCATGACCTGACCTCAAGAACAAAGGTTCTGACACCAGGAAGTTTGACAACTAACTACACCCCTCCCTCACATTTCCTATAAAAGGGTTTTGCTGAAAGCTTATGGGGAGTTCGGGGTTTGGGGGGCCTGAGCCACCCGTCTCCTTGCATGACCCTGCAATATACCTTTCTCCGCTCCAAACTCTGACGTTTTGGTATTTTTTGGCCTCACTGTGCATCGGGCACACAGACTTGCGTTCGATAACGCTCAGGACCCACCATCCTATAAGTACAGTTTAGATTTGTTTTTCCACAAAATGCATGACTTTCTACTTGTTCACATGTAAATGTATCTGCCAATTCTAGATAATAAACATAGTGTAAACCAGATTTTGTTTTTAATTTAAACAGAGGAACGTGGTATAGAAAAATAATCTTCCCAAAAAAACTTTTCATTCTCCCCCTTCCAAAAGTAGGAACTCTAAGAACCATAAACACTGTTTTGAAAAGTCTAACCCTTTGAACATGGAGAAGCCCACAGAACTGAGCCAAAAGAGTAAATAACAGAGTTAGCCCATGGAAAAATCAAACTCACGAAACCCTTTCATCAATATTAACCTGCTTTGAAGACCACTTCATCAGTCAACCCAAGGTAGAACCTTTGGAGACATCCTTAATCTTCCCCATTCTCTTAATTCCTCTCCCAGTTAGTCCCATCAGTTGAACCTCTCCGAAGTGTCTTAAAAAAAACATTTCTTCATTCCCCTTGCTCTTATGCCAGTTTGTCCTTCCTGTGACCATAACCTATCTAGGTTCCCTGTTTCATTTCACTTCTTTATTCTGGAAAAACCTGACACTCCCACATCAAACCTAAGACTGTTCAAACCTATAATAGCTCAAGTCCTGAACATCACTTTCAGCATTTCTATAAAACATATGGACATTTACATTATATTTAGACAACACATTTGTTGCCTAAACATTTCATGTATTTTTATTTCTGTTTGGAATGAAGATTAAAAATAATGTTTACCTAAAGATTAAGCAAAATGTTTACCTGTCTGAAGCTACGTCACTGGCAATTTGGTGCTTCAATCCTGACCCATTTTTAATAGAATCCTGTCTTGTGAGCCCATGAGATCGACTTTTCTCCACTGCAGGTACAGATAAGTCACCTGTGGGTCCTTGGAACGGGGCCTGCTCATGCAGTTTTGCTTTCTTCTCCTGAGGTGCCTCCTCATTCCGCAGTCCTCGGAGAACCTTTTGATCAGGTTGCTGTGGTGTATTAGATCCACTATTATAAAACCATGCTCCTGATTTAGTGAGGATTTCTTGTTGTTTTCGGCACAAATTACATACCCACATAACCTGCACACGAATATACAGGGAAAAGAAATTAGTGTTTCCAAAAGTTAAAAGCAAATAAAAATAGAGACAACAACTCAAGCTAACAAAAAAAGTACATGGTTATCCTTTCTGAAGTTAAAATGTAACCCTGATCAACTGCTATTGTTAATTAAATCACATATCTTGATTTTGTCAACAGACAAAACTGACAATATTTACTGGCAGTAGAAACACCAAACTAGAATGTGAAATTACTAGTTGTTTATTTATATTCTTTAATTGCTTTGTATTTAAACTAGGGGCATAGTATAATACAAAGAAAATGGATTTTGAGGTTAGAAAAACTTGGGTTTAAATAACAACTGCAAGACTGGAAACTTGGCAACCTTCAACAAGGTACTGAACCTTCATAGCTATAAAACTTAGTTTCTTTAATGATAAAATAGAGAAATAGGTATAATAATATTCATCCCCTATATTGTTTTGAGGATTGAAATAATTTATATAAAACGTCTGGCACAATGCCTGGTATATGTTGGACTTCAATAGATTACCTACTAATATTAGGTTAATCTTCTATCATCAACTATATTACAGTTTCTTGAAGGGGCTTTTATTTCTTTTGAGTAGCTCCTAATGACTAAAATAAAGCTAGGAACATTGCTGATCCTCAATAGAAACCTATTAATTGCTCATAACTTTAGTAGGACACTTAACATAAAATGTACCATTTTAACCATTTTTAAGTGCACAGTTCAGTAGTATTAAGTATATTCACATTGCTGTGAAACAGATCTACAAAATGTTCATCTTGCAAAATTCAAAGTCTATATCCATTAAACAGCAAATCCCCTTTTCTCCCTCCCCCCATCCCCTGGTAACCACCATTCTACACTTGATTTTTTAATAGATATGTTTTTCAGACTCCAGGAATCTAAGAATATTAAAACTAACATCTGTTTGACCAGAAAACCTTCGCCTTCTTCTGAAAAATATTTTTCAATTAGAAAAAAAATCATACATTCATGAAATAAAAGGTAAGTTAATATTTCAAGTGTTTTCTATGTTTTATGTCAAATATTGAATCTTACACAGCTCTCCAGATTGCTAAACATTTCCTCATAGTTTAAATAAATTATAATATAGATAATCGCAGTAAAAGAAAACTTCAACATGGTATTTTCAACTGATACAAGAATGCTTTTGTAAAATACCATTTAAAATTTTTGCTTAACTTCTCATTATTCCCAGTTCACATTGTTTGTATAGTTTATATCATACAACACTGTACTTGATCATTTTTTTATTTTGTTCTCCCTTCAAATTGTATATACATTTATCTTTTCTCCAACTAAATTGAAAGCTCACTGCGGGCAAGGTCTGTATCTTCTATTTGCATAATAAGACCAGTAAGACCTTCTAAATGTTTGCTAACTTGAATTCTTTTGAAGTCTTTCTGGGGGATGTATTATAATAAAATTTTTTATACTATTACACTAAGATTTATGTTTCATCCATTTCCAAAAGAATTAGTCAGCAATAACATCAATTTCTGTGACTATCTTATTTTTAAAAGTAAATAAGAAAGTATTTTTGATATTAAAATACCAAAATCTCAAATTTTAAAAAAATACCTCATAGTCCAAATTTCTTTTGGTTTGAATACATACAAAATATAAATATATCTAACTCATCAATCGTCTCAAAAATCAAATTTCAACCAAGATCTTCAGCCTTTCAATGCCATCTTGTGGCAATTATAGGTATTGCAGATATCTTTTAAAAGTGAAAGGCGCACTAAATATAGAACCAGAAAATATCGTTAAAATAAATTAAATTTGAATTTCAACTTTTCTGCTTTATTTTAAACAAATTACTCATTGTACAAATAGCATCATTTCCATATAGCACAAAATGAAAAAAAGACTTGGAAGCATTATGGGCTTAGTTTTCCTCATCTGTTAACACCTAATAGATATTAATATAAGATAAATGACTGTCTAAGTGTGAAGGATGATGTCTGACTCTCTGTGTATTAATACCCTTCCCATACGCTCTGAGCTATCCACATTGGTTGCTCTTTTTCAGACTAGATCCTATGTGCCCTCCTAAACTGCTGGCTTCCTTATATCCTAACAAATTACCCTTCTCTTACTATCTCCTCCTACTCTTGGATTAAGAGCTTATTAATCTTTAAAGCTTAGGAAGCCTAAATTCACTCACTTAAATTAGTACAGGGACTGACACTTTCAGCTGAAAACCTTTACACACATTGCACCTTGTAAATTGATGATACTGCAGGATGCCTTACAAACACATACACATGCTATGAGATGACTTTTTACTAGTTGGCTGTGAAATAATTAACATCTATTAGAGGTAAAGTCTGTGTCCATGGAAAATAATTTAACTAATTTGGGAATATAATAGCAGGACTTTTGTTAATGGAACCCTTTAACCAATTAAGTTAACCAGCAAATGTATCTTATGATGAATGCTGTTAAAAATATCTTAGAAATATACATGCCTGTAAATCACCATGGTTAGAGCCTATTAGTGTGGCTGGTCATCATTTATCAAAAAACATCTAGGCCCCAAGAATACAAAGACATAGAGGATTCAAAATTATAAGGTATTATTATTTTCAGTTCTAAATATGCCAATATTTGGGACTTCCCTGGTGGTCCAGTGGTTAGGACTTTGCCTTCCAATGCAGGGGGTGAGGGTTCGATCCCTGGTCGAGGAGCTAAGATCCCACATGCCTCGCAGCCAAAAAACCAAAACATAAAACAGAAGCAATATTGTAACAAATTCAATAAGGACTTGAAAAAAATTGGTCCACAGGGCTTCCCTGGTGGCACAGTGGTTAAGAATCCACCTGCCAATGCAGGGGACATGGGTTCAAGCCCTGGTCCAGGAAGATCCCACATGTTGCAGAGCAACAAAGCCTGTGAGCCACAACTATTTAGCCTGCGTGCCATAACTAGTGAAGCCCGTGCGCCTAGAGCCCACGCTCCGCAAGAAGAGAAGCACTGCAATGAGACACCTGCGCACCGCAACAAAGAGTAGCCCCAGCTTGCTGCAACTAGAGGAAGCCCGCGCGCAGCCACGAAGACACAATGCAATGCATTGTCTAAATGGTTTTACATTTGACTCCTACTAAACACTGAAAAAACAGATAATCCCAAACTTTTTCAAACTATTATAGAAAGGGGGGGGGGAGGTAAGGTCCCCAATGCAATTTATAAGACTAGAAAGATTTTAATGGCAAAATCAGAAAAGGGCAGTAATTAGTTTCCTATGGCTGCTGTAACAAATTACCACAAACTGGTGGTCTAAAACAACAGAAATATATTCTCTCACAATGCTGAAGACCAAAGTCTGAATTCAAATTCAGTATCAATGGGCCAAAATCAAGGTATCAACAGGGTCATGCTCATTCAAGAGGCTCTAGGGGAAATCAGTTCTTTGCCTCTTCTGGCAGTCAGCTTCAGATGGCTACAAGCATTCTTTGGCTTGTGGCCACGTCAATCCAATCTTCAGGGACAGCATCTTCAGATCTCTCTCTGCTACATCCTCACTGTGTGTGTAATCTCCCTCTTATAAGGATACAAATGATTATATTAAGGGCCCAGGCAGATAATCTCCCCATCTCAAGATTCTTACATAATGATATCTGCACAGATTGTTTGTTTGTTTGTTTGTTTTGCTATATAAGGTTATTCACAGGTTCAGGGATTAGGGCATGGATATTTTTTTAGGGGCCATTTTCAGCCTACCACAGACAATATAAAAGTAGAATTATAGGCCAACAGCACAAATAAAAATGGATGCATTGATCTTAAAATCAAATGTTAAATTTCATACAGCAAATATATATGATAAAGAACAAAAAGAACCTATCATGACAGAGGGAAGATTATAACAAGAATAGTTTAATATTAGAAAATATACCAATGTAATTCACCACATTAATAGATTAAAATAGAAAAAAGTGGTCATATTGATACGGAAAAACCATTCAGCATTCATAAAATGTAAGACTCATTCATGTGAAAATAAAAGCTAGCAAATAGAAAAGTAAGCTTAAGCCTGATAAAGGGTATCTACAAAAACTTATATCCTATTTTATACTTAAAGATGAAAAGTAAGAGCATTTCCCTTAAAGTCAGGAATGAGCTAAGGATTCCAAGTATCATCACTTCTATTCAACACTGTCCTGGAAGCACTAGCTTATTAGTAAATCTCACACACACGAGACAAGAAGAAGGATGAAATAAAACTGTCCTTATCTAAACACTATATGATTGTGAACACCATTTGATTATGACATAAAAATCCAAGAAAATCCACAGACAACATATTAGAAGTAATAAGAGAGCTCCATAAGTTTCCTAGATCAAAGATGGACAAAGATAAACAGCATTTCAGTACACCACTAGTAACCAATCATAAACATTTAATAAAAAAATTTTAAAGATACCTGTTTCAAAGAAAATTAGTATACAAGAGTCTAAAAGAAGACTTACATAAATGGAAAGATATACTCTGTTGCAATAAGAAGACCAAATACCACCAGGATGTCAATCTCCCGAATTAAATCTATAACGTTCAGTGCAATTTTAATCAGACTCCTACCATGTTTTTCATAGAATTTATCAAGCTAATTCTGAAATGAATATGGAAGAGCCAAAGATAAGAAAATCTAGATAATTCTGAAGATAAGTAACAATTTAAGGTGGACTTGCTCTACTTATTATAAAGTGACAGAAATTAAGACTGTGGTATTAGTAGAGAAGTGCTAAATAGAACATGGAGCATACTAGAGGCTCTAGAAACAGACTCTCACATATACCAGTGATCACATTACAAATCAGTGGAGAAAGGACACACTATTAATATAGCCAAGACAACTGGTTGTCCATAATGGGGGAAAAAATAGATTCACACCTCACACCATATACAAAAATCTGTTCCAAATGGATTAAACACTGAAACATGAAAGACAAAACTTCCAAACT